AAAGGTGGGGGGGGGGGGGTGAACCATCTCTTTAAGATACAAATTAGATTAGTAGCTAGCACAACTATTTTCCCAGGGCCTTCAGTTCTGTCCTGACCTGACACCTGCCTCCTAAAATACTTGACCTGGCTAATTAAAGAATGGCTGAAGAAATGAAATCCTCCCTGACCTTACGTCCCTCCAGAGTGTAGAGATTCTTGACATGACATTGCATGAGTTCTGAAATCTCGTCCATGAAAACGCGAAGACTCCGAGCAGTTCGTCTGCTCAGAATGATGGATCGCCTAACAGTAAGGTCGTTGTTTTTGACAAGAACTATCCTTTTGGGGTGCCGATGGTGGTGCTGATGTCCCGAGGGGGGCTCCTCTGGTCGGGAGGGCTTGCGGCGAGTGTTATGCGGGTGACTGTGATGGTGCCAGACCGCCGGCCTCTTCCCTGCAGCTTCCATGTTGATTGGCTTCACGTAGCGGTGGTCAGAGCACAGGTAACAGCCTCCGTCCTCTAACTGCTCTAAATGTTTAATGCTGTGGGTCCCCCTGGGTGTCGTGATGGTACGCACACCAAAAGGTAGAGGAACCTTTTGGGAAAGGTCATCCAATAAGGCATCAAAGCATCTGAAACTGCGCTTATGGATGGCCATCTTGATGCCTTTGAACTGAGCGTTGCCACTCTTATAGAAGGTAATTCTCTTGGCTGGGCTGGCCACAGTCACGCTGGAGCCGAAGGACGATGCTGGAGGATGAGGAAACTGATGAGGTTCATTCTGAAAATGGGTATTAGCATCAAAGGAGCCTTGGGTCGTGCTCTGCATCTCTCCTCCAAGTCAATTCAATCTGTGGAGGAAAGCTAGATATTAGAATAAATGGAGACTCTAATAATGAGTCTGCCCTCAGATTTGCCAAGAAACCACAGTAATCAGAATATTATAATCAAAACTCAAACACTTCTCATTAAACACTCCTAAGACCAAATCACCTGCCATCCATATTCATTTCATAGCATTATAGTTTAACCGTTGTTTCTATATTTTTCTGCTAATTCTGACAAAGTGAATGAAACATAATTGAGATCTCCAAGCCTCCTGTGTTATGAAAGAGCTACCCTGAAAAATATTTTCTCCTAGGAACCGAACACAAAAATTAAGCCTCAAATATGACGGGTTACTCAAGCTAAGACAGGTATTAAGTCTTCAAACTCTCAATCAAAGATATAGTGGCTAAAATATCACTATTTGATTGTTTAATTAGATTTAGTCAGAGGTGCCATTTATGTTATGAATGTCTCTAAAGTTCATCCTTATGGGAGTACCATGGTACTGTATGACTGGCATATTCATATAGTGAACAATGGCATTGACATGGTACTCCAAAGTACTTTAAAGAACACTGTGGTATTACAAAAACACAGATACTGCGATGAAAATTGCAATCATACCATGTGGACTTTTTAGTCAACTTTTTAATCAATCTTGTATTTACTACACAACATGTCATTTAAAAGTGTAAGCAATTAAGAAATTAGGCCTGAGTCCAGAGGTTAATCTCATGCTCTTTGGGAAACAGTTACAGACTAGTTTCAATTGCATTTAGTCCTTAATGGGCACTTTAATCCAACATTTAAAGAAGTTCAAGAGCATGATCTCCGAGCAAAGTTTGCGCATAAAATCATCTTATGTGTATTAAACTGAGACTAAAATGAGTTTTCTTATAACCAGATTTCTAATAATGAGATTTTGAAAAATGCATACAATCATTTCATGACAGTCCAGACTGAATAAAATGACATATTGTATCTTGACACATGCAATGTTCTAATTCTATTTGTATAAAATTTTGATAAATTATCCATATTTGACCACAAAAGCCATGATATACTGCATCAAGCATGTTTTCACTGAACAATTCGTTTTATGAATAATAAGACAAAAACTTTTTTTTCAGTTAAAATAGTATTATTTTAGTAGCTCAGCTCCATATAAAAACAACAGTATATATAATAAACAATATACTTACATTTACAGAATGCATTATCATATCTGACGCCAAAAAAAAAAAAAAATAAATAAATAAATAACTGTACAACTACAAAATTTGAAAAAGAAAAAAAAAAATCTGACTATACAGAGCAATGTTCCAGGTAGTATCCAAGCACACGACTGCTACAGGGATGCAAGTTCACAAGCCCTCCCACAAACCGTCTGGCCAATAATCAGGGCCTTTGGCGGCTAAGGATAGAACGAAAAGCTTCTTTAATCATCTTGAGATTGTATTGAACTCTAGGGGAGCGTAAGACACATGACAGCGACACCAGGATTGCACAAACAGAAATGCACAGAGCTACGAGACGTCTGCTTTCTGACCCCTGATGACAGGCTGGTTTGTGTATATACTACAAACATGTCATTTAAACAATGACGCACCAAACAGACAGACTGAAAATACACTTGCTGTCAAATTTACTCTGACACAACATGCATATATACTATATCTAACTTTATTTGCATACATGCAGTACACTCATTTAAAGTGAAATCTACTATGCAAATTTCAACTGCTTGATCATTAATATCATGGCAAAATGTAAAATATATTAATGCAGAACTCTATATTAAGTTGGACATATAGTATATCCAACTTTTCCTTTTGCATAGATACAGTGCACTCATGAAAAAGCAATATACATTATACAGCAAATCTCAGCTACTTGATTGTTTATATCTTTGCAAAATGTAATACCCAAAATGTAACAGCTCTAATCTGCTAAAAGTGACTATAAGGCATGAAGATATTAAGATACTACATTATCATCGTGACTTTGCATAAAGTCATAAATTACTTTAAAAATTATGTTTCCATATTATAATATTATTCTTTTTTTTTTTCATTATATTTGGGGGTGAAATATAGGCCAAGTCTATGTCCCTATATTCATGGCATTCTTTATTAAATTTACCCAGATATCTCATACATGTCAGGCTCTATAACTTGAATATCGCAATATAGCATTAGTATCTACAACATTAGAAGACTTGAACTATTCATAGAAAAACTGAATTTTTCAGTAAAATATATATTCAGTAATATCTGCCTGGTGCTTTATTCATTTTGATTTATATGCTGTTTCTAAGGGTACCTTGAGATGAAAGTGTGGTGAATGGCTGCTTATTCTCTCTGTATCCTGCAGTGCCATACTGTAATCTTACAGTACTTTTCAATTAAAATAAGTGAGTATTTCATGCATTTTCTTATTTGTAAACTGAGAAAATTGGTGTAGAAACAAATTTGACAAATAATTGTGATAACACTGACTGTTGCTCGCTCTAGTACTGCCAAAGCACAGGCTTACTGTAATCTCAGGAAAAGACAGCACATCCTCTGTACTCTTAACTGACCCACTATTAACCACTAGCTGAAGCAACATTAATACGGATGTTTGTAGGTTCTATGTTTAATTCAGATTCTTTTAATGGCACACCAAGCACAAACTTTATTTAATTAGAGCTAATTAATTACTAAACACCTCTGAGAGGTGTACGCATATTTGACACTAATTATAAATCTCTAAAGACTGAATTAATTTTCCACAATTAGTAACTGAGAACTTGGCAGCCCATTGGGAGAAACCTGCAATACAACACTGTCAGATTACTGAGACTGAGGGAAGAGCATTTGAGACTCATGGGATATGTGTCAGAAGAGGGAGGAGACCAGGTCTAAAATACAAATATATATATATAATTGTGTGATATAAAGTCACAATTAAGAAAAAAAGTCTGAATTGAGACAGAAAATCAGAATTGCTCGTAATTCTGAGAAAAAAATAATTGTGAGATATAAACTCAGAATTGACCCTTCTCAGGGAGTTTGATTGACAGGCGATCTGACCAATCATAATGCAGAATCTGCCATTTTTGTCCGACAAACAAACCAGACAGGAGAGAAGATTAACTTCGGTGGACTTGAACTTGAAAAATGGTGCAGTTGAGACTGCAGCTGATATTCATTTGTGTTTATTCTGTACTATAAATAGTAGTAAATATGAAGAGATGATTGGTCCACGTGCCTCTTGAACTGAGACGCTACAGTGATCTGTCACGACATATTAAAGAGCCACAAAACAGCATTTATTGTTTGAATTTTTTTTTAAATTACAACATTTGAAAGCCGAGACTTTGTTTCATACCAAAAGTAACCTGCTCTTTCTTTTCTGTCGGTGCGTTGTCAGTTTCTGATCACTCTGCCATGTATTTTTTTACTGCGTGAGAACATGATGTGTGGAGTGAGAGCACCATGGCTTGTCGGGTTATTATTAACAATAACTAAGGGGGGCAGGTCTTTGTGAAGGGTAAACTGCGATATTTACTCAAATTCTGAGAAAAAAGTCAGAACTGCGAGATATAAAGTTGCAATTCTAACAAAAAACTCAGAATTGGGAGATATAAACTCGCACTTCTAAGAAGAAAGTCTGAATTGTGAGATAAAAATACAACTTAAAAAAAAATTGCGACTTTATCCCATGCAGAAACAAGCTTCCATTATTCAGCATCATTTTAAAAATAATGGTAACACTTTACAATAAGGTTCATTAGTTAACTACTTTAGTTAACATGAACTAAGCATGAACAATACTTCTACAGTATTGATCTTAGTTAATGTTAAGTTCAACATTTACTAATACATCATTAAAATCAAAAGTTGTATTTGTTAACATTAGTTAATGCATTGTGAACTAACATGAACAAACGATGAATAACTGTATTTTCATTAACTAACATTAACAAAGATTAACAAATACTGTAACAAACGTATTGATCATTGTTAGTTCATGTTAGTTAATACATTAACTAATGTTAATAAATGACACCTTATTGTAAAGTGTTACCAAAATAATAATAATAATAAGCAAAGAATTTAAAAACAGTGTTAAATTATTTCCATAATGCTAATGACAGGCCTAATAACCAAGATCATTAGCTAACGCTTACTTAACGCACTTAACAGCACTCATGTTAGTCAGAGCTGCTAGATACGAGTTACTTTTGAACAGAAAAAACCCAAGTCCTTGAAAATGTTCTGTCTAGTCTTTCAAGTGAGGCGTGAAAAGTCTGAAATGGGAATTGTAAAAATGACTACATTAATAAGAAACGCTTTAAAATGCTAGAGACAAAGACAGCTACACTCACAGGATTTGTAACCACTAAGCTTGACATTCAAAGCAATTCATCAGTTCATCTGCAAGTACTCAACATCATTGTAGAAAGCAATAACTATTTCATAAAGAAAATAGCTGCACTGACAGCTCTAACACAAATAGATACTTCAGTCTGTAATCTAGATTCAAATTCTCCCATTTTAGCTTAGATCTCTTACATCACCAATGCATAGACAGCATATTCCACTAAAAACCATCTTGATGCTCTGTCCTAATTCCACACACCGGCTTACCCTGCAGGCGCAGATTCATTCTCCTCGGCTGCCAAATCCTCCAACACCACACCTCCAAACTTTGTCAATACTTCTGAAGTAATCCAGTTAGAGAATCCACCAGGTTTTCCTACAATAAGCAGCGCTCCGGCTCAGGCAGGTGAGGTTGAAACAGGCACAGCGTTTGCAATCATGGCGTTCTCTCCTGTGAGGAATGTCACTTTCCACCCATGACGATGAGTCACGGACGTGCCACAGCTGCATATTGTCTATCCACAATCATTCATTCCATTAGGCTAATTATCACAGGCAGACCTTCATCCAGAGAGGAGGAGGAGGAGGAGGAGGAGGAGAAGTGGGACTCTGAAAGAGGATTATACTGTGTGGCCATCTGTGCCAGAATGAATTAACTCTTAGATCTCCAAAAACAACCTGTTGTTCATGCTTTAGGCATAAAAAAAAAAAAACTCAAACAGAAAACTATTGGCCAGTTCTGACCAACAAAAAGTTCCACTGCATATGTTGACTACGTTATGTTTGTTATGTTGACATTTTTCTTAATATTATGAAGCCAGATCTAATATTACCATCAAAAAAATTACTATGGGGGCAAATATAGCATGCAATTCTTCATGTTACAATAAAATCAAATACTGTTCTTAGCGTAATATCAAACCATATTAAAATTAATGATAATAATAATAATAATAATTACGCACACATTAATATAATATTGTTGGAAATGTATCTTATTATTTTTTATTATTATTGTTCATTTAAATTTTAGAGAGACACTCTAAATACTTCATTTATATATAGAGAATTAAATATTAAGAATTAGGAATTAAATCTTAATATTAAGAACAATAATATCCTTAAATATGCAATTTTAAGGTATAACATTCATAGTGTGTGTGTATGTGTGTATATAACATTTTGCAATTTTAGGGTATAACATTCATAATACACACACACACACACACA